TTATATTGAGTCTGTTCATTACAACAGTCCAGGCAAAAACGTTAACTTTAGAGGGAGTTTTAGTCTTCCACAGCAGCTAAAATTATTAGTAAGATGGGAAACAAGGTACTTGCAAATGTACACACTTGAAGAATCTAAGTCCCAATCTGATATTGGGTTGTAGAGAGAAAATAAATGACCATATGATATTAAGTAAAGAGAGCATTTCATATGATTCTTGATTATGTAGAGAGTAAAAGCTCAAAGATATTAAGCAAAGAAGATAAATTTCGAGAGGTATGTTCATTAATGGAGGACCACATAGGAGCATTTTGGCACAATTAAGATTAAAGGCATTGAAAAAGGGCCAGAAAGTGGAGGATTATGAATCCAAATATATCTGACACTCGCACTGGCACCACTTTAAGGGGCTTTCTTACTTGTGTGGTCAGGTCAAGGCTTGAAAGAGATTAAATATTGGACAATGCATGTCTATGTAACTGAGCATGACAGGTGTCATCATTTGTCATATTTTAAGACTATAGTATCTTCCTGTTATTTCATAAAACTTTGGCCTATTTCATACCTTTAAACAAGGAAAAAGAAAAATTGATAAGGGAAGCCCCTTCATCATATACACTTGGTAGATTTTCCTGGTTTTGCTAAAATATACATTTATATGCATAGGAAGCTTTTAAATTTGTCCCGTCCGATTGTTACATTAAGCATATCTTTTACTTCATCACCAGCAGAAGTTTCAATTTTTTTTCCTGAAATTGTATTTTCTTTTCTTTTAAATGTGAAATATAATGGAAAAATAGAAATAGGAATGTTGATTTGATAGGGTTGCAGCTTTTTTTTCTTTTTTCTTTTTTTTTTTGTAATGATAGGGCAGCAGTTAAGTCAGAAAATATTGTGGCTCTACTGCTCAAGATGACAACCATCTTATTTCTTGGTGTGAAGAACTTTTGCAAATCTTCCAATTTATCCCTGAACTAAACCAAAATGTCTCATGTGATAAGGTTAGAAGAGGAGTTTTTTTAAGGGAGAGATATTTTTAGAAAGAGAGAAAGCTCTTATGAGCAAGACTGAGAGGATTCTTTTGCAAAGTAGATAACGGGATCGTTGGAATATGCCCCTGGCCAAAGAGAAGCACAGAAGACTCATTCGGTATGGATATGGATTATGTATCAGCTATATGTTTCAGTTTTGTGGTTTTCCTGGCGTATCCATTAATTTCTTTGATCAAATATGTCTACCTGCTTTGTGTAGTGGAGATTTCCAACTTATATTGCTAACATATATTTAGGAATCCATAACTCTTCTGCACTGTTAACTTTTTATCAGTATTTTTAGGAGTCTGATATAATCTGTGCTCCACCCAATTCTGTTTAGTGTTCTGATTGCTGTTTCTTTGGAACACTTGTCAGAATAATTAGACTAGGTTTTTCCTTACCCCTTTTCTAAAATATTAACTTTTGAAGAAAGATATCTCCCTGAAGATTTTAATCTCCTATAAAGAAATGGCTATAAAATGACATACCATCTTCATTTTGTAAACCATACCTTTAGCTGGTGTGCTTTATCTTAGATCTATCTAGTAGGTGATACAATTTTTGGAACAATGTTGGGAGCTTACATTGCCTTCATATCAAAATTGTACTTATGCTCAAGAATTTTACTAACCTTGAACTGATTCTGGGCTTTCAGGTGCAATTAGCAAACCAGAATCAGCTTGGTGATCATTATGCCTCGAAACATCCGAAGGAAAAACCGCCTACTGACTCAAGTTAGTCTGTTTCTCATCAATGTAAAAAGATGCAAGGAGTACAAAGATCCTAAAACAGGAAAAACTTATTAAATATTTCAAGTGTCTCAACAGCTTTGTTGCCTAAGTTTATTACTGACGAATGTGATGATGATAATGACTAGCTGGTTAATGCATTTCAAGTTTAATCCAACTGAATGGTGTATTATTAATAAATGGCTGCAGCACCGCATGCTTTCAGTTGCAAACATGTGATTCAAGTGACGATTTGGTGTTGCTTGAATTTTGTAGGGCTGGAATGTAATGGTGATGGCGGTGACAAATTTTTTTATCCTCCTGAGAAAACAACCTTCTTAGATGACTGAACTTAGCCATGTTCGAATAATATCAAGTGCCTCTGGTTTTCCACTAGACATGATTCCAATTCTATGTTCTCTTCGGTAAGTAAAAAAATTATGTTCTAAATTATGAGACTTTATCAAAGAAATTATTTTACCAGTGGTTAGGCACCTGGGAGTGTAAATCCAAATCCGAGAAGCTTAAGATAAAAACCATCCCATTGTCGGTTTAGAATGCCTGCTTGGCCTCCCAAATACTCAGATCTGAAAGCACACCTGAATGTTGAAAATCAGTGCCAATAAATAAATAAGATTTAAAATTGTTTAGTTATAGAGGAGAAATCAACCACAAAATTGAATGGTATTTTAATTATTTAGTGCTCCTCTATGCTTCCTAAAGGGAGTGAATTTGTAAGAAGCTGAAGTGCTATCACATTCTCTTCTTTTTCTCCTCTTTCTGTCATATAGCTATGGGGAAGGGTAACACTAAAATCAGCAGACATAAAAGTTAATTTTAAGCCAAATTAGTAATTTAGTTCCCAAACTTTGATACAAATTTTATTTTAATTCTAAATATCTTTTTCATTACAAAGTTTCTTGAACTCTCAAATTTTTTTTTTTTTTTTCAAAAATATTAACACTCAATTTTAACTTAAAACAGAAAACAGCTTAAGACTTGTTTGTAAAAGAAATAACTTATGTCAAAAGAAAAGTTAAAAAAGTAAAAATCAAAATCTCTTCGTTCTTTGGTGGCAGTTGGTAGAGACAGAACTACTTCACTTGCAACCACCCTTCCACTGTGGGGAAAAAAAGATATATACAACAGAGATACTAAGACCAAAAAGGGAGCAAACACAAACACAAACACTCCGAGAGAGATAGGGGAGAGATAGACAAAGATATATATATATATATATATATATATAGATTGTTGCTGTAAGAGAAGCAGAGAATAGCTAAGGTCGTATGCTTGGATGAAATGCGATGGAGGTCAACTGGCCAAATCTGCAAAAGAAAGACAAAGGTTAATGCAAGGATGGCAGATGGGGGGAGAGGGGTTCACCATTGAGAAAAGAGAGAGAGAGAGAGAAAGAAGATCAATGGAGGACCTATCAGAAAGTGCATGGACTAGGCCGACACCATTAGATCTAACGGAGAAGGAATTAGTTACTAATTTATAATATTTTTAAAAGTAATTAATTTACAAATAAGTAGTTACATGTATGTATTAGTTTAATTTTGAAAATTAATTTAAAAATAATTAATTATGTTATTATTTAATAATGGTAATTAATATTCTTTGATAATGTGTAAATAATTTGCAAATAACTAGTTACATGTATTAAAATAATTTTAGAAATTAATCTTAAATTAACTAAGATATATTAATAATTAATCGTGTAATTAATTTTCTTAAAATACGGCTTAATATGGGAATACTATCACACACACACACACACACACATATGATTTGTGTAATGATATATTTAATATAAATTTAATTATCTAAATAGAAGTGTAATATATTTTTTGGTATATTGAAACATGAAGGAGATTTATGTTTGCGTACATGTCCTCATAAGATTGCCTATCGGAGATGATATACTTCTTACAATCTAAACTTATAGATTGTACATGTATGTGTGTGTGTGTGCGTGTGTGTGTGTGTGTATATATATATATATATAGCTGTGGGTAATTTTAGAGAGTTAGTGTACGTGTATGTATGTATATGTATGATATGTGTTTATAGATGAATCGATATGAAAACGTGTTGCCTTCTGTATTTACAGCTATTACATACATTTTATAATATCTTTTTGCTGGAATCTGTTTGGATATTTTCATTCCATCTTCATCTACAAAAACAAATTTACCGTTTGCCAACTAAATCACATGAGAATTTACCAACTAAAAAAAAAAAAAAAAAAAAAACCACTTGGCTTAAAATGATATATGGTTGGTTAATTAATGCTCAAACTTCCCACACTTCGTTAACTTACATTGAATAGATAAGTCATATTTCTGGTTTTTTTTTTAATTTTCATTGAAATTGATACTAAATTTTCTAATGATATAAATTAAAATTCAGAATATCTTATTCTCATACATATATAACCAAACCACTCAATACAATCACGAAACCAAAGAAAAAAAAAAAAGCATTTAGAGAAATGTCTCGCTTAAGTAATTGCGTTTTTTGTTTTTTGAATTTTTGTGCTTTGATGATAGGTATTGCAGCTATTTCCTTGGCCCTCAACTTCCATATTAATGGCGGCAATGATTGTCAGAGGATTATTCAAGAACCGTTATTGGTAATGGGAGTTGTGATATTTGTGATATCATCAATAGGATTAATCGGAGCATGTTGTAAAGCAAATTTTGCATTATGGATCTACTTGATGGTGATGTTTTTTTATGTTTTGGGTCTTTTCGGATTTATATTGTTCTCTTTTGTAATCACAAATGAACATGTGGTGAGAAGCATTGTTAAGGAGATTGGTATAAGAGACTATCAGCCAGAGGATTTCTCAGAGTTTCTACGAGTGCATTTCATCAATGGACAACATTGGGATGGGATTAAAACTTGTCTAGTTGAAGCTAATGTTTGCAAAAGGATGAACGAGAATTCGAATGTGAATACGATTTCTAATTTATATCAACAACACTTGACTCCTATTGAGGTAAAATTCTTCCTGTATGATTAACTTATGTGTGTGTATATATATATTATTTTGATTAATATGTGTTGAATTGGATACATGTAGTCAGGATGTTGTAAACCACCAATTTCATGTGGGTTTAAACAAAAAAATGCAACATTTTGGAAAATTCAAAAAAGTGAAGCATCTGTTCAAGATAAAGATTGTGGTATTTGGAGTGATAAACAAGATAAGTTATGTTATGACTGCAATTCATGCAAAGGTGGAGTTCTTGCAAGCATTAGAGACCAATGGAGAATTGTTGCTTTCCTCTCCATTTGTGAGCTTGTGCTTATCATCATTACTTATGCCACTGGTTGCTTCGCTATGAGAAACAATAAAAGAGATAGATATAGAGGTTGGGCTTGATATTTTTCTACTTATAAATTGGTTTAATTTATTAAACAAAACTTAATTGCTAGACCATCTAATTTGTAGGTTTTGCTAATTTAAATGTAAATATACATTGTTTAATTAAATTTCTTTTGTTATTTTAAATCTCTACCTTTAAAACTGTAGAGTATTTCACAAATGTATACAATAGTGTAGATATTTATATTTGGTTGATGTGGGAATCATATTCTTCAACACATAATTTTTTTAAAAAATAATTTCTCGTTCATTTCCTCAATTTTTTTCTAAAATAAACTGCGTTACTCAACTCTTTCTTCAAACAATCTACCTCATCTTGTTTATAAATAAATTAATTTCCCTACCAACTATGTAGTTATCATCTAAATAACCTTTAAATGTACAAAAAGAAAAATTAGATTTAACTTTGAAGAAACTTTAAATGAAAGGCACATGCACATTATGTTCCTTTTAATTGTAAAGTGATAATTTAACCTTTACTATTTTTATGAATTATCAAATTGCATCTTAAATCCCATCATAGGAAGATGTTGTATTTAATTCACCGTAAAAATATATCGTGGTATGTACGTTTTATCTTACACCCTATAATGGGAAGGTGTCATATTTACCTTAAATCTTGTCCTAGGAAGGTGTTGTGTTTATCTTAAAATTTGCCATAAAAGTACACTACGGGTGTGTGTTTTCATTTTAAATCTCATCGTGGGAAGGTATGTCTTTTACCTTAAATTCCAACCTAAGAAGGTATTGTGGCGTGTGTGTTTTACCTTAAATCCATCATTAAGACTTGTGTATGTATGTATGTATCTTAAATTTCATCATGGAAAGTTGTTGGGGTACAATATCTTTTTTAAATCCCGGCATAAAAGACATCTCTAGGACATAACATCAGAAAAATTAAAAAAAAAAAAATGAAGAAAGAAAAAGGAAAATGAAAAAAAACGAAAAATTAAACAAATAGAGAAAATAAAAAAAAAACGAGAAAATAAGATTTGATTATAAAAGAATTCATAAATTAGATCGAACAAAATTACGATAGTTATGATATTTATTTTGTTTTTTTTTTAACAAAAGATAAGGTAAAAGATTAGTTGTTATATCCTAATTTTTGTTCAGATTAATTTTATTTTTTTCAATAAAGAATTTTTACTTGGTTTAATAATTTTAGGAAGATTCTGGTTTTCTTTCATACGAGTATGATACCTCTTTATTTCTAAAGCATATTGGATTTAACAAACTATTTATTGTGATATACGTTGATGATATGTTGACTACGTGATCAAATTCTTCATTAATTTCTTATCTTGTGTTATGCCTTCAATAAGAATTTTCTACGTGTAATATGTGTCTCCTCCCTTATTTTCTTGGTTTTTTAGGTTAATTATTTTCTAAATTTTTTTTTTCTCATCATAAATATATAAGGTTTTTCTTCATAGATCAAATGTGGGTAAATAGTAAACCACCACTCTTATGACTTCCTTATCTTTTCTTTCCGAGGTATCTAATAATTCTTATTCTAACGAATAGATTCTGCTCTATACTCCTTAGTTCTATTTAATATTCTATAATGATGTGTCCTTATATTGCATTGTAATTAATAAGTTATATTAGATTATATATCCCCTAATTGATGAGTAAATATAAAGCTTTCAAAAAAGTTCTTCATTCAAAGGGTATTGTTTCCCATAGATTATGTTTTCTTAAATCATTACCCCTTCACTTACGGTATTTTTAAGATAGCGATTGAGGTGTAACTCTAACAATCATTACATTACCAAAGTTTTTGCTATTTATTTTCGAAAATAACTAATTTTATGGCTAGCTGGAAAGTAACCCATGGATATTAGAATTTTTGTAGAATGTGAGTAAAAAACAATTGTCAATATTATACCTAAATTTTTTTTGGATTAAATCATTGCTTGTATAACTTAGGCTTTCTCCCTCCAAGTCTCAATGCTACGGTGTCATCTACCTCACTATAAATCTTATTTTTCATGCTTAAGCAAATCACGTCGAATTTAATTTTAATTACTACTTTTCTTTTATGAGTAAATTTGCCTCTAACAACCTACAAGTTTGATTTCTCCTATTGACAATTAAATTGATGACATCCATCTCGTCAAATCTCACCATTAACTTG